CCCCACAGTCCTGGCTGTGGAGGCTCGTGTGTACTGCACCAGAGATGAAGCCTGGCCAAGTCCTCTGCATTGAGAGCCCGCTGCTCGAGCGGGTGGGAGCGGAAGGTGAATCTCTTGTCTTCCTGTCCCTCCCCGTCCCCGATCGGAGTCAGCCCAAAAGACTGCAGCTGGTAGGATGAAACTGCTGCTCATACTTTTGCCACTTCGTTTTAGCTCACAGGGCTGTTTGTAACATGGTAACTCTCTGTGCTGGTCTGACATTGCTCCCTGCTAACCGCTGTGAGTTTGCGTTGCCTTCGTTCTCTCTGTAACCGAGTTTGTGCTCCTCATGTATTAGCATACATTTGTTCGCAGAGCTAGCCATTGACTTCGAAAAGTTAGTACACTCGTGGCATTTGAAAAACGCGAAAGGTCTTTTAATAACATTCAAAATTGTTCTGTAGATATCTGCAGAATCCGCAAAGATGTTCCTACCCATCTGGACTTTAAAAAACATTTTGTCCACTCAATGATAAGTATTTTGAACTCGTTTCCCAAGTTGCGTCCATGTTTTTGTAATGCAAACAAAGATGGCAGCCTTGATTTAATCCAGACAATTAGTTTTTAATAACTCCGTGGCCGCAGTTTTTTGTTTTGTTTTTGTTTTTCATTAGAATGATTAGAAGAGTCTTTCAGTATTTTGCAAATACGTTCAGGATACAAGTCAGTTTTTAAGCGGCCTTCTAATATAACTGGTAAGTGTGCTTCCAGTTTGCTCTGTGACCAGGTCTGTGCTAAAGTGGGGCTAGCTTCAACTCTATGGGATTCCCCATTACTAGTGCCCTGAATCTCTCACTATATGAAAACTTGTAAAAACTAAGTAATGTATGGTGAAAGCAAGTAACCAGGGCTGTTGCTGCAGAGATCACACGTGATATTTTAAACAAGTTATTGAATAAGACTAGCCAGGGTTGCTAATCGTTTTGAGGTAGAGGTGTAGTAACTATGGTTTTGCTGCACTATTCATTGTCTGTCATGTTGACCGTTGCAGAGACACACATGCCTGATGTGCTGTTTCGTGCAGGTTTCTTCTTTTGACACCATATAAGTAAAGTGTATTTACAAAGTAAATTTCAATTAAAGATTAAAAAAAAAATCAAGGCTAATAAAGACAGTGCAACAAATAATACATAAAGTAGACAGACAGATATTTACGCAGGTGTGAAAAGAGAAAATTAAGTTGTCTTTTTGAGGGTGACCACAGATATATATATATATATATATACTCAAGGAGCCATGACTTTGAGGTTTCAGTCTCAGTCTTCTCAGCTTTGAGCTGAGGCTGCGTTCCAGTACCCATATGGCTGCTCAAGAGTAAGCTTTAAAAAACGATTTAGAATGTACCAATACATAGTGTGTCAATGGCAATATGCCATATGTACCACGGTGTGCTTGTGCATCCAGTCTTATTTTGTAGTATGGAAGCCAACATGCTTTTCTGGCCATTCTGACTACAGAGAGCCCAGACAAGTCACACACAAAACTGGATAGATGAGCAAGACAATCAGACCTTAAAGGACAATATTATTTTAAATTACTATGTCAAAATTCTATGCATTCTGGAATATTCACTTTGCAAAGGCAGCTGAAGTGCATACTGAAAGGAACAAACCTGGATCTGATTATCTTGAACACCTGCTGGTAACATAAAGTTGTAATAACTCTTAAATGCTGTGATAACAATCTCAAATTTAACTCTAAATCTCTTGGGGAACCAGTGTCAAGATATTAGGAGTGGAGTTGCAAGAGACATCTCTGAAGATGTGCTTAAGAGTTTGGCAGTTGCATTCTAGGCCAAGTGTTTGTCTGTCCTGACTTAATTTTCTTCATTCATCAGGAACTGCTTAGACCACTGCAGTTTGACCAGCTTCAACAATCGGCCCTCTCAGCATAGTAATGAATCATAGTGAAGCCCGTGAGGGGTCTGTACCAGGCAGAAGACCTTCCAGTTCTGCCTCTACGATATCTGTGGGTGCCAAGGGACAAGCAGCACAGAGTGTTCAAAGGCCCAAAGAAACAATAACTCCCTTCCACAGCTCCCCCATAGTTGGCAACGATGCATCTCTGCGTAGCAGACGACCAGTAGCTTCTGGGAAATTACTAGCATCTCCGGACAGCTTGTTTCTGGGCATATCTGGACATCTCACTACTCTACCCGTCAAAGAAAAACCTGCTGCCACTGGCGCCACCACTGCTGCTTCAGCTACTGCTAGAAGCTCAGACAACCAGACTCCTAGTTCAGGCTCTGCACAAGCCACAGCAGGAGAAAAAGCACAAGCAAGTCCTCTTATTGCCAAGGTAAACAGATATACTGTTTCATTTTAAAAGGTGTTTAAAAAATGTTGATATTATTTAAGTTTCCAACTATAACCTGAATTGCTGAACAGTAACTTTACAGTTGTCTAACAAGTGAGGAAATTCAGAGTTGTTCATACTGGTGAAAGAAATAGTGATTAGGGATAGACCGATTATTAGGGCCAGTCTTTGGTATTTTCCGATTATCTATATCATTTTTTTATTAACAGATTTTCTCTAAAGTAAGTTTGCTCATTAGGGATAGATACCGAGCTTCGGTATTAAATTAGCCCTGGTGTGAAATTTTTCAATACCGGAGGATAGATAAGCTTCAGCATTAACAGTTCCACTAACGGTACATTAGAAAATATGAAGAACATTCTGTCTCATTTCTGGAAGACGTGTCTGATGTGTGTGTGTGTCTATGATGCACTTTTGCTTTCGAAATTAAAAACTGTGTTCTGTCTGTCGAGGCTAGAGAGGAGTTAATTACATTACACGGACATAGGCTAATGATTAAAAGTAAGTATTCACCAGCTGTTTGTTTAACTGTGGCTGCTTTCAGAAATTTTGTCTTCAATTCAGAGCATCCTCTCATCTATCATTCAGAATTTCAGTTTCACTTTCAAAGCGCACAGAACAGCCGCGATCTAGTGATCTTAGGGCTGCAGATAAACTCTGTCTTTATTTTCACTTTTTCTCTAACTGAATGTTGGTATTAGTGGTTGAAGAAGTACTTGTAACTAGTAACTGTTTTCTTTACTAATTAAAATCACAGTAAAAATATTGTCAAAATCCTGCATTCATTTTATACCTGCAAGCCATCATGCGACACTATCGTCTGGAGTCTTTTAGAGCACGCAACATTGTGTGGTATATGTGAACAAGTTAAACATGCTGAGTTGGTGGGTTGCGGAGCAAAAACTTTCATGATGGCTTGCAGGCGGCATACCTACTGAGGTAAAGAGCAGCAGAGTTGCACGCAGCCAGTATGAACAAGCCTGTGAGCTTGAGAAACCCTGAAGTTACAGATATAAATCTCTCACAGTAGAAGTGTAGCAAAAGCCATCTGTAAAAAGACAGCCAATTGTGAGGCCAGATTGACTTGTAACTGGTGATTTGTCTGTATTTCCAGCACTTGTAGCCAAATACTTAGACTTTTCATCTATTAATATCTTTGTACACATTTGCAGATCTTTGTACGCATTGACAAATCTTTTTACACATCGATAAGTCTTTTTACACATTGACAAATCTCACTACAGACACACAGATTGAGATACAGACACACAACTCTCCATACATATTTACAAATAGTTTTGCTACAATTGTTTCACCTTCAAACTGCAGTGTACCGAAGACTGTCTCAAATACACAGGTTCAGACCTCCAGGCTTTCATACATTACAAACATAAGGAAGCCAATCTTTTACCTAGAGTTAAGTTCAAGCATTTTCAAGCATGTTTAGTTCAAACTTGTATGACTGAATTACTCAAACAATATATGTAGTGTAGAGTAGTTTTACAGTGTTTGTGTGCAACAAGCAAGGAGGGGTGACTGGAGAGAGAGCCAGGGACTTTGTAGATCCGTACATTCTAGAAGAAGCAGCAGTGTAGCGTTACGTCTAAGCCATTTTAAGGCAGAAAGGATTATTTTTATGGAAGAAATGCTAAATATGCAAGTTTGATACACAGAGACCAAGTTCTTAGGGGTTACATCAATGACTAAAGATGAACTTCATTTAAGAGGGACTTTTATCTAGCCCACTGTAATAGTATTTAAGTGTATTTGCGTATGATTTTAGCAAAACAACAAATCCCCAGTACCATTGTTCCAGACCTTTCGTGAAATTCATATGCTGAGGTTAAATGGGTTTTCATTTTCATTTTTGTTTTTGTTTTGTAATTGCTGAGTCCATTCTCCTATTTTCTGCTTCTTGTTAGGGTCCAGGCCATGACAAATGATTATTTAATGATAGAATTACAAACTGGCTTTGATGTCTTCAACGCGTTAGTCAGTATGACTAACAGTATTCTATGTGACGATAAAATGTCTTAAAAAGTGGTAATTCTGAGGACCCTGCAGAAAGCTGTTTGTGTCCAGACTAGCAGCCAGGTGTAGGGATCCTACTTGATTATTAATGAGTAATTTAAATGTGGAAACTGAACTAATTTCTTCTTTAGCAGTCAAGTAGCAATTGTATAATAGCTAACATGGTATTTTCAGTGCATCACACAAGATGATCTGAAATTTTTGTCACTATTTTCTGAAACTGTTGTTACCGTTGTTCGTCTTTGCTTACATTTAGCTTGCTTGACAGTTCATGATTGCTTTACACAGCTTCCAAGCTTTTATTCTGAACGATGCACATTCTGTAAGTCTTGCCTCAATATTTCCTTTTAACTGTGCAGTTTATTCTTTCGACTGCATGTGTTACTAATCTATAGACAGGGTCACATAAAAGTGCTAAATTAAAAAAAAAAAAAAAAAAAAAAAAAAGTTTAGTATGTTAAGGTTTTGTTGTACTCTACACTGGAATAGCAAAATCAGAATACACTGTGTGTAACTGTGCCGTCATGTGAATAACTGGAATGCTTCCGTGATATTTTTATTTTTGAAAAATATGTAGACATATTTAGGAACTCAAACAGGACAATTATTGGTGGAAGATGGTCAGTGGACTATAATTACATTAAAAAGTCAGTATGCCTATGCTGTACATATATGCCTAACTGTTGTAGCTTGTTTGTTCCTTACCTTTCCTTCTTTTCTTTTAAAGCTTGCTGGCAAAAAGACATCTAAGCCGGCTCTGACAATCTCACAGATGGCTGGACTGCCGTCTAATGCAGAGCTATATCAGAGCCAGAGAGGCAAAAGCCAAGAGAAGAGAGCTTTCTGCACCTCCGTCAAACCTCGGGCTGGTTAGTCTGTTCTTTCTTTTGCAAACTTTATGAGTCTGAATTAAACTTTCACTGATTGTAGGTTACAGTAGCAACAAAGAGAGCAACATGTGTATTTAGATAACAATCAACAGAAATGTTTTTGATATGTTTAGTGAGGATTCAGTGTAAGCTGGCATACGTAGCAGGGCTCCAGACTAACTTTTTTATTGGTAGCACCAGCCACCTTTGCACAGGCAAAACGCCTCACTTGCTGAACATCTTATTGAAAGACATTACATCTGGGGATGTTCCCTAATTCCCTCACATTGCAGACTATGGTAGATGCTGCTAGGTAGCTGCAGTGTGCTCAGACAGGTGTGTGTGCAAAAGTTACATGGAAAGAATGAAATAGTGTGTTCTAATGTCAGAATTGTCCAGATGACACCAACTAATTTTATCTACATGCCCTGTTTTTTTTTTTATAAGCAAAGAAAATGGCGCATGTAGCTGTGCTCCACTTTTTACAAACAGCATATTGTTAAATGTAAATACTGCGTTATACTGCATTTAAATAATAGTGGGAAGATAAAACCATTATTATGATTAATGGTTAATTTAATTTTGCAATCATACTTCTACATTAGCCATTGAATGTGAATGTATTGCACTTTTTCCTTCGTCGGTTCAGTCTTGCACCTGCACCCTAAGTATCAGGTGTGTCTAAGTCGGGACCTGTCCCTCTCTACCAGCCATGTTCTCTTTCCTCTTTTTTTTTTTTTTAAAGATTTATTTTTGGCCTGTTCTGCCTTTATTGATAGTGACAGTGAAAGATAGACAGAGAAACGTGGGGAGGAGAGTGGGGGAATGACATGCAGCAAATGAGCCACTGGGTGGACTCGAACCCGGGCCGCTGCGTCGGGGACTGTAGCCCCTGTACATGGGTCACCTGCCCTACCTGCTGAGCTATCCAGGCGCCCTCCTCTTTTTGTTTTTAAAATGATCAGCTACAAACCAGTTTATCTCTTGAACACACAACAGCTAAATAGCATCAGGCAGGGACAGACTGACCAGGACACAGAAGAAATTAAAGTATGGCTTGCCACCACTATGGCTAACACAATAACTGCTTGCGTCAGTGAAAGCGACACCATAACATCTTAATGATCATCTTGCATTCGCATGAATGCAACCACTTAAAATTTTAACTCGCACATTCTAATACAAGGTCACAGTCTGGAGCCCTGTAACGGTATGTGTACCAAACAAAGGTACTATGTAGTGAAATGTTTTCAGATAGCAGTTTACACTACATTTCTGCATTATATTATTCAAAAATATCAATGGCCTCAACCATTCTATTGTATATTTCACATGATTTATATTAGCAGACTATTTGACAAATGAATTAGTAGACAAACTAACACTTAAAAAAGTCCTGAAAACATCTCTCAATAAGTCCCTAGTATGAGTGATGGGGGCCTACATGAACAGAGTTTCTGCTGAAGGTGAAACAGTTTTGGTTACTGCACATTATATAGAATATGGATGCTAGACTGCTGGTTAGACAAAACAAGCAATGTGAATATGTCATCTTTGTATCTGGAAAATTGTAATGAATGAAAACAACGAACCATTTTGTAACATTTCACAGACTAAATAATGACTCAAATTCAGCATTCTTGCTAACACAGAATGAATGTTCTAAATGCACAAAATCATATTGTGCCTATCTTCAATTATATTTACTTTATGTTTTTACACTGTCATTCTTAATTGTTTGGATTTATTTATTTATTTTTTTTTTTACACTATATGGTGTGATTTTGCTTTCCTGCTAGATTTGGAATCTTGTTATTTAATCCTGTGAACCTCAAGCAGCTTCTGGGTGTTTCTTTGGTTATTTATTCTACAAAAATTGAAAAGTTGAAAGGAGATGTAAGATAAAGTCTAACAAACAGCACATCACAGCTGAGGAATTCAAGGAGAGGTGGAAAATTGAAAACCCCACCTCTTTCTGTTTTTACAGCTAGATGCAGTAATTTTGTAATTTTTGTTTTCTTTTGAAAAATAACATGCCTTTCAAACCAGCCAGTGGGTTTTGGGGTTCAGAGGGCAAGCAAGATGGGGCAGGAAAGTATCAGATGACAGGTCCCAAATGAGTCCTTTTATTTGTGGGGGAAAGTATTTTTGAATTAAAAGGACAGAGTGGTCCTGGAAAAAAAGGGGAAGCAAAGGAAGAAAAAAAAAAGGAGATTTCAACTTCAATGACTAAATGGTACAAGTCCGGTATCAAAATGTAACACATTAAAGTATCCCTTCCAAAAAACCTTATGCACAATACAGATACACCTAAACTACTCAAGAAGATGAAGAATCTGGCAGCAATCAAAATTTCTCACTGTGATTGATATTTTAACAAGGAATGACATTCAAATTATTCAAAGCAAGTTTCTCATTGACGTTTTTCTTCTATGAAAAGCATATGAAGCTTAGTGACTTTTTAAATGTGTATGTCCTCTTATAAACTGTCTTTGTTCTTATAGCGACACCTACAATTGTGAGAGTTACAGCCTAGTAATATCAATGATATTTATTAATCAAATAATTATGAATACACGCATTCAGGTGTTAGATGTGACACAAGGTCTTTAAAGTGAAAGGATTTTGATGACCTTTGATACATTCCGATTCTAAATTGTCCATAGGTGGGAATGTGAGTGTGCTTGGTTGTCTGTCGTAAGTGTAGCCATGCGATAGACTGCCGACCTGTGCAGGGTGTTCCCTGCCTTTGCCCTAAGTTACCTGGGATAGGCTCCCCCCCCCCCCCCGCGACCCTAGTGAGGATTAAGCGGTGTATAGATATGGATGGATGGATGGATGGATGGAAGGATGTTACTTTACTGGTAATGATGTCAGGCCTCCATTTTTTTTTTTCCTAGCAGTGAAGCGGAAGAAAAGGAAGATGGGAATGTACAATCTGGTTCCCAAAAAGAAGACCAAAGCTGTTAAACTGCACGAAAAGGTAGGTTCATTTATTTATGTGTTGCTGTGTATCAGACCCACTCACAGTACCATGAACATGAACCCAGATGAGCAACAGAATCTTTTAGGTGACAAGTTCACGTTTACATACGATGCAGATTTTTTCCAGTTCGGCTAACCTACAACCTTTAGTCTAAAATAAGAGGTAACTTATTAGCAGCTTGCATGCATTGATCTTTTCATCATATCCTAAAAAACCCAATGTGAAAATGTTAGTTTCTGAAAGTATTATGTCAAAAAATGTAATCCTTTGCTTCAATCAGAAAGAGGAGCCAGGAGCCTGCGTGGAAAAGAAAGACATTGCAGGAGAAGAAAAACTTGGGATACTACCAGAGACTGCGAAGGCTGGAGAACAGACAGCTGTCATAAATGAATCCCAAGTACGGGAGGTGGAATCTGAAGAAGGCAGCCATGTTGAATACACAGAACTGGCTTTGGACTGTCTGGACCTGAAAGCTCAGGAAGAGCTGCTCTCCCCCCCCCTGTCAGGTGGTCAAAAGATGTTACTAGCTGATTTGACTTTATTAGATTTATTGTGAAGTTGTAATGATCCCCTTTTAGTCAACAGAGAACAGTCTTTATAGATGACACTCTCAGAGTCTTGCTGTGATCTGTAGTGAAATGACAAGATGCACATGTACAGGTGTAGCAGCAGATACTGAGGTGACAGAAACAGACCTGGCTGAAGAATTACCACTGTGCTGCTGTCGTATGGAGACGCCTAAGAGCGGAGGAAGCCTGTCTGCACTGGACCAGACCTGCATGGCAATGGAGAGCATAGATGGAATGGTAAAAATCACCTGGAATAAAATCATTGATAGCCTCCAAGTAAAAATTACATTTTCAATTCAATTTTATTTATATAGTGCAATTCACAACATATGTCATCTCATAGCGCTTAACAAAGTAAGGTGACGACCTGACAAATTTTGAATAGAGAACCCAACAATCCAAAGTTGCCTTTGGACTTCATCTGAAATCAGATAAAAATCTTATTCAGTTCCCAGAGACTTGTCTATTAGAGAAAATGCCACCTTATAAATAATTTCAAGCTCATTGAAGTAAAAAAACGCAAGTTCCCCAGCAGCTCTAAAAATAGATGTAAATTTAGTTTAATTAGTTTTTCAGGAGTTATATTTAATTTTTAAATTTGAGTTTAAACAAGTTGTGGTAGCAATTTTAGAGACAAATTTATTACTTGTAAGATTTTATAAGTTTGACATTTTACATAAAGAACATACACCGATTAGCCACAACATTAAAACTACTGAAAATTTTATGTTGCATAGTCTCCTAACATGCTGTTAGAGATTACATTCTAACCTGATAGCTGAGTGGTTAACGGCATACCACTTGAATGCATACTCACTTTGAATACTGGCTGGGAACTACTTGTTGCATGTTATTCTTTTGCTATATGTCCCCACATTTTTGTCTCTCCACAGTGTTTATGAAATAAAAGGACAAAATTGCTTTGAGATAGGTGTCAGTGTTGAACTTCTCTCTCAGCTCCCCTCTTCATTAGTTTTTCAAGGGAAAGTCTGAATATGTGCATTGTTACTGTCATATTTAAGCAATATGACGTCTTCCCTGTCTACATGACAGCATGTCTTACCAATTTGTTCTAACATAGCCTAAACCAGCTTTTGGTGTCCAATGAACCAAAGCTGCGTTTCATCTTAAGATCCATTTATATTTATTTATTTGTACTCAACCAAAAATCTATATGACATCTGCAGCTGGCTGATGTTCTGTGGGATCTAAAAGGACTGGTGGTAGTGGAAGTGGTTTTAATATTGTAGCAGTGTGGCAGGTTAATTGTTTGATTGTTTCTCCCCAGCTGAGTCGTTGTCAGAGGCGAGTGATGAAGGAAGAAATGATGCGACCCTCCAACACGGTCCATCTGCTGGTTCTGTGCGAGGACCACCGTGCTGGCATGGTCAAGCACCAGTGCTGCCCTGGCTGTGGACTCTTCTGCAGGGCGGTGAGGGGAAACAAAACACACTCACATACAATAGACATTGCTGAGGCCTGACAGTACTATTTTGCTATATGTTGCTGCAAGGGCTGGTCGATATGGACCAAAAGTCATATCCCGATATATTTAGGCTGAATATCGATATATAATATATATCCCAATATTTTTTCCGTGAAGTAAGAGGGAATGTACAGTCAAAGTCAAAGCCAAATGTAACGTGTCACAAGTAGTTTTATTGAAACCAGCACTTTCAGTGAACAGTTACAAACTGAAATGAATAAATAATAAAACAATACAATGGGTTTCTTCACCTGGTTCATGAATAAATACTCAGCTGTTGAAATAACAATAGAATGTAAACATAAATACCGTATAGCAAGGAGTACCTTTTTTGAAATCAAACTCCTGTAAGGTGTTTTGTTCTTGTTGTTCTTGCTACTTCATATTTTTACTCCATTAAAAACTCCACAATGTTTAGGCCTATGTGTCAACATTAGTTACTAGTTACTTTGCAGTTTGCTCTTTCAATCCAGAGAAAAACTCTAGTTTATCATAATTAAATATATGTTACGTTGATGATATCTTTCTTATACAGTCTATGGTGCAGAGACCTCCAGGGATCTGTTTCCCAAAGCAAGTTCAACAAACTCTGAGTCTAATCCTGAACTCTGAGTGGATGTACTATGAGATAGGAAACGCTGAGTTTCCCGTACCAGAACAGTGGATTTGAGTTAGTTTAATTAACTTGGAGTGTTATGACCTGGAGTTAAGCGCGTGCACCACAACTGTAAAAAGCCAGCATCAATGGAGCCCCGATTTGACGAGTCACCATGGCAACGGGGAAGTGGAGGGCTGCCTTTTTTTTTTTTTTTTTTACCTCACTAGAATTGGAAATGTTAATGTGCTCATACAATGACACAACAACTTGATTTTCACCTGACAGGGTTTTTAAAACACCTGAGAATTCTTAAGCAAGTACCAGTTCCTGCCCAATAAGTTTGTTGTGTATGATCTCATCATTTTGAGAAAACAGCCTCATATTCAGGAATGAGAGGGGTTGAGTTTGTCTTCATGGATAGTAGCTGAACATAAGGCAAAAAGGTTGGGGACCACTGCTCTAAATGTCACAGATGATTTTTCCACCCTGACAAGAAGAAAATGTCACTTGAAATGTTTTTTGAGTATTTGAACACTTGGAATATTAAACAAATAACTAAACTGCTTGTTCTCTTGAACTACTGTGTTTTTCCTGGTCCATTCCATAGGGCAGCTTCATGGAGTGCCGACCATATGGCAGCATCTCTCACCGCTTTCACCGTGACTGTGCCTCCATCTTGAAGGATCGTAGGTTTTGCCCCCATTGTGGAGAGGATGCCAGTGGGGCAAAAGCGATTACAGTACCGAAGGCTGATCAGTCACCTTTTGTGCCCAGATCCAACCTTGAGCCGTCTCTCCCTGCCATACCTACTGTGGCTACTCTGCCATCAGTCCCAACCACACCTGCTGTTCCACAAATACTTAGAGCTAAGAAGACCAGTGAGCCTCAGAAGGGCAGAGACAACAGCCAGAGCAGGTGACATAGCACAGATGAGGCTCATGTCATCTTGTGTTCTTATCGAGAAAAAGTGAAGACACCACTTCCTTCTCAAAGTGAACAATCTTAAAATTTTCAGATAATTTCAGTTTATATTATATGTATTATCTAACTGCTGGTGTTGTCTCCAGGTTAAAAGATGAAGATGTGCGTGCTGCAGACAGACTTCCTAAAGAGTCACTGGAGAACATCCTGATGGCACTGGATGATGAGAAGTAAGGTTAACCATGTGTGCAATGTGGGCTACTATAAAGTTTGCATTTTATAGGAATAATTGATTGAGGTCTTTATGTTTTTAGCCTGAAACCAAAGAAAGTGAAGTACCCCACCAGGCAGCTGTACATCTCTGCAAAACAAGGAGACCTCCAGAAGGTCATTCATCTTCTAGGTAACTTACATATGTTTTCTGACATAGAATAGCCTCAACTACAATGACTTAATGTATGCTTTTTAGCATCGGTGTAAGGTCAAAGTTGGTACATTACAGTTGATGGGAAGGATCCTAACGTTTTGATGGAGGGCCAAAACAGACGTACCCCGCTTCATGGAGCAGCTTCTGAGGGTCACCAGGAGATATGCCACATGCTCATCCAGGTGAGGAGACAGTGGCTTCACTGCAGACTGCACTACAGGGCCTGTGTTTAGAAGAACCACTTACAGAACACACTTAAACTCACCTCTTTTATACCTTTATCATCTTTTAAAAATATGGTGAAGGCATTACTTACCGATTGCTGTACCTGCTTTTAGTGTATTTTATCTTTAAGCCTTCTATTGTTATGTTTTGTTTGTGTATTGATTTTTTTTTATTTATTTTTTTTAATGGATGTATTCCTTTTATTGTATTTTCTGTTCTGTGCTGCCTCTTGGCCAGGTCGTTACTGTGAATGAAACTTTGTTCTCAATTAACCCACCTGGTTAAATAAAGGAAAAATAAATAAACAATAAAACATACCACAAAGTGTGCCTAAAAAGTGACTAATAATAGACCTGGTCCTATCTGTAGGCCTTGGATTAAAAGAATTTGATGGGGCCTGCAAGCAAAGCACAAGCCAGACCAGTTGCCAGTCCATCACAGAGCCAACATAGACAGACAGACAGCTTACGCCTACAGTCAATTGAAAGTCATTCAATAACCTACACTGCACATTTTTGGACTATCTGAGGAAACTGGTTCACCTGGAAAAAACCCACACAGGCAGAGTGAACATGTCCACCACAAGATTTGAGCACAATTTGAGAATTCTGAGCATGATTTGAGCGCTCTGCTAGCGCCTTCTGTAAGTGCTAGGCAAATTAAATAGTTTGTGTATTTTTTAATGAAAAAAGAAGTAAATAAAAGCGCTCGCTGCTGCAAATGGACATCAAACATAAAACATTTCAGAGAACCCAGTGTGATTTCCTCTGAAATGCTTTCATCTTAAACCAAAAATATTTAATAGATTATTAAATATAACAAAATCAAGCAGCAAATATCCATATTTGAAAAGATGGAATCCTCAAATGTGTGCCATTTTTGCTTAAAAATGACTACAATGATCAATTGATCAAAATCCCCAAATCCATTCCCATCCTGTGGCTGATGTCAGTGTGTAATTCAGTGATGTTGGGAAGCTGTATGTATGTATGCACACACAGGCTGGAGCCAACCTGGACATCTTTGATGAGGAGCAGAGAACACCATTGATGGCAGCGTGTGAAAACAACCATCTGGACACAGTGAAGTACCTACTAAGAGCCGGAGCAGCCACCAGTCACAAGGTGAGTTAGCACACAACTTGTCCTATCAGCCTGATGTCTGTTTATGCCAAGTCCTGTTTTTCCATCTAGCACTCAGTCTGATCTCATTGTGCCAACTGCTACCTTTGCTTAGGGCACTTGTAGTGCAACACCCATTGAATTGTTTTTATCCTCTGATTTTTTTTTTTTTTTGATGAAGTAGCAGTGCACACACTAAAAGATGTGCTAAATACAAAGGAAGTCATGGTGCTTTCATGCGAATCAGTTTGCAGTTGAAAATATACTGAAACAAGTAAAAGAAAATGTATAACAAACTTAACAGAAATGTATATTCTGTAAATCATATAATCATTGATTTACTCTTTGAGTTTACTATCTCAGAGTCTTTATATATCCCCCTCTCAAATTAGTCTCTAATCACTTTGCTTTAGAAAACACCTTTTAGCTTTTAATTTTAAGTCAAAGCTTTCCCTCTTTTTGCCCATGACAGTACAGTGCTGCTCTGCTGGCATAACATGGAACGCTGCTTTTATATAAGTAATTTTTCTTAAATCAACCATTCCACATATTCATTAACTTCTGAATGTCCGTTTTTTCACACATAAACACCCTAAAAAGAAGGAAAAACACAGCAGAAGAATAGAAAAAATCAAAGGACAAAACAATTACAGTCCATTACAGCATATTAGCACACATGTTGCTACATCTATTCTGGATCATCTGCCCAACCTTTTAATCCATTGAGCTTTTAATATACAAGAGGAAATTATCTCAGACCTGTGTAGATTTGACTTTTCTATTGCTCAGCCTAGCTGTTTAGTATTCAAGGGAAGCAGTTTCAGTCATGAATTAAACCCATTCAGGGAGTTCTGATGTTCTTGTGGTCTTCCAGATTTACAAAGCAAGTCTTTCTGCAATAATGAAGTAAGTACGTAAGTGATCTAAACTGTGTTTCGGTGACCTCAAGAAGACATAGCTGAGGGGAGTCTGGTAGCGGCCATTTTGTCCACTCTCCAAGTTTTACCAGAACCTTCTTCCTTGAGGGTTAAACTACGGAGCATTCCCATATTGCATATAAAATGTGCTACTTGCCTCCTTGCATTGACAGGAAAGGGGGGAGAAGAATGGGGAGAGACCTGCAGCAAAGGGTTGTGAGCAGGAGTCGAACCCACAACCGCTGCGTCGGGGAATTATAGCCCCTGTTCGTAGGTCGGATTAAGCGGTGGATGGTTGGATGATGGAGCACTATGCATTATGTGTATAACATTCAACAAGCTGAAGGGAGAAATGTACAAAAAGAATCTGCCTCTGAAAACTTGCATTATGATGAGCTGTGAGTTGCTAAAAGGCTAATTACAATTGAGTGGAACTGCAGAAATATATAACTATTGTTTGTTTGTCACTGCTAGAAATCACACTTCAAAGATTTGCGGATGCAAATCTGCCTTAATTTGGAGTGCCACAGCAAAGGGTCTGACTAATTGTATTAATAAGACTTACAATATTATTACAACAATTAAAACATGTTCTTCATTGTTAGGTATTCAGTATATATTGATGAGCAAGCAAAAATATTTTTAAAATTGAATCTTCCACACAAACTGTGCAAAATACAAAGTTGTGTGAATATTTTTGGAATCTGCTGTATATACTAATTTGCTTCAGTTTTTGCATAAAGTTTATTAGAGCAATATATGTCAGAAGCAAACACCAGAAGAAAAGGAGAGTCTAAAGAGTCATAAATATGTGACTGCTTCCATGAGAAGGAAACACTCATTACCCGATTGACTAATTTCAAGTGAACATGTATAATTACCGCACCAACTCTACGGCAAAACTATGCTCTAGAGAGTGGGAGAGGATTAAGTACATAACAACCGTTGGACTCGTTTTGTGTCATTAAGTCTGTTCTAATGTCCATTTTCACCCATAAATTTCAACTCGAGGAGTCTGGAAGCCATTAAAATTTCCCTTCTTTTGAACTTGGATAGTGGTGGCAGCAGTGCTGTGTTGTTCAATGTGAATCATGTTGTCATCCAGGATATCATGGGTTTCACCTGTCTGCATCTGGCAGCTAAACTGGGACATTATGACATAGTCAGCCATCTGCTCTCCAAGACATCCAAATACATCAACTGTCAGGTAAAAGCACATGCACGAACTTGTTTCCAAACTAACAGCTAATGTGATGTGGATCAGAAACCATGTGTGAGTGTACATCTTTCTATAAGTTTTCCAGCTTGTGTCTGTGCAGGATGACGGAGGATGGACTCCCATCACCTGGGCTATCGAGTACAAGCACAAGGAGCTGGTCCACCTGCTGCTGGCCAGAGGGGCTGATGTTAACATAAGAGACAAGGTCAGTACACACGGCACACTGCTTAGTTTGAAACTTTTACGCACACACACACACAAATCTTTTTTTTCTTTTCTTTTTTTCATGATTTCTGTCATAATTGTGTCACACTGCACAGAAGGCGTTTCTGAGTTCTCTCTTCTTCAAGCCATGGTTGTGCTGTTTCCATAGAGGTGCAGCACTTCATATTGCAGTCAAGAAATTGCTCACAGTGGGGAAAAAATATATGGTCTTTACGTTAATAATGGTGTTATTTTGGCGTCCTTTAAGATACTGTGCCTTTCAAACTCATGGGCTGGTTTTGAAGTTGGAACAAGGTGGAATAATGGTTAATTTTTTTGTTATTTATACTTCTATTTTTATTTCACATTTTGTTTTTCTGTTTAAAAAAAAAAAAAAGCAATTTCAATTCAGTTCTATTTATATTGGGCCAATTCACAACTTATGTCATGTCACAGCATTTCACATAGTAAGGTGAGTTAGGTCATTCAGGCTGCTGTATCCTTAAGACATGCTTGGAATTTTACTAACTGGTTTCATTTGGCTTTGTAGATAAATATAACTGGGTGTCATCTGCATAAAAAGCAAAATTTAAGCACTGTTTCTTAATCCTCACTCACAACCGGACACACTGCTTTTGGGATCATACGTCCTCTGCAAATTTTGGGTGCCATGGAGGCCGTAGAGGTCGTAGAGGTAGTGGAAAGGTTGCAAGGGCTTCGTCAGAAAGGTGCAAGTCTGCCTTGCGAGTTGCAGGGGCGACGTGAGATGTTTGTTCAAGCATGGACACTAATTGCAACGTGTGATTGCCATGGAAATTGTACTCTTTTCTTGAGTTTGCCTTGCCACCTGTGAACATGGCATGCACTCACCACTCAGGAAGAGAATGGAACGCACAGAGAAAGTCAGTCACACTTGCCTCACGCGCTCGTGATGACGTACTGACGGCGTCAGTCAGTCTGGCGCGATTTTCAAAAAGCACAACAAAAAACAAAACAAAACAGAGATGCTTCAGCGATCATGTGATTTGCTGTCTTTTAAATTTTGTTAACATACTGACAACATTCCCTGAAAATTTCATGAAAATCCGTGCATAACGTTTTGAGTTATCCTGCTAACAAACAACCGTCAGGTAAAACATAACCTCCTTGGTGGAGGTAATTAAGAAATGTGAGAATCTCTTGCATGGATACAGCCAGTCAAAGGTGTACTGACCCATTGCTTAAAGAAAAGACAGCTGTATTCAGAAAATAAAGAAAATAACTGGATAAATTGGAATTGGAGAATGAGAAATGCGACAGTTAGGATTAAGGTATCCTGCAACAGGCAGTCAGCTGTGGGTTAGACTTCTTTAACTGGATAGGCATACTGGATTTATTCTCTTTCAACATAAAAAATAATAAGAGAATTTATGCATGGTTAGAACAACAAATTAGTAGGGCGACAGGGGTTGAGCTTTGGGACAGTACCGCCCCCCTCCCCCAAGTGGTCTGGCGGAGCAGAAGTGCGCGGGCATTTCCGCTATCAGCGGTCACAGTACTGTATTCACCATCGGTGGTGACCGAATATTCGGATGTCGAAATTGCTATCCAGATGCCAGCACAATGACTGAATATTCAGTTATTTGGGTCTAGCCCTACAAATTAGGTTACTGAAGTTACGTATATGTTGTGGTTTAAGTAGTGAATTCATAAAACTCTCATGGTTCTCCAAAGACAATGTTGTTTTCCTGTTGAATTCTAATTTCAGAATGCTCTAAAAGGTGTCATTTGTATAATAAAATTACTAAAATGTCTCCTGGGATACAATGACTCGCAATCCCCAAGACGATTTTAGTTTTGTATCTTGTCACCTTCTTAATGACTCTAAAATTTGCAGGTCTGTCAAGGTGATGCCTGTCCTTGTATGTCAGTCTGACCTATTCTCTTCCTAAATCCATGTCAGCTCTGACCTCTGATCGGCTTCTTGTCCAGGAGGAGAATGTCTGCCTGCACTGGGCAGCACTGTCGGGCTGTGATGACATTGCCCAGGCTCTGCTGGAGGCTCAGTGTGACCTTAACGCTGTCAACGTTCATGGGGACTCACCGCTTCATGTTGCTGCCAGAGAGCACCACCTGGAGTGTGTGATGTAAGTGTGAAGTCTGTTTAGATAAAGAAAAACAGGATAAATTTCATGTGGTGAAAGCCCAAGTAAGCCTGGTGTTATACTTTCTGCAGACTTGAAGGTCCACTAGACATAAATTTCATTATTTCCACTAGTCCATGAAAGTGTGTGTGTGGACCCCTCTGTGGAAATTCATGTTCAGCCTAAAATTTGTGCTCTATGTGGTGACTATGCTACAAGGGCAAGAGTGTGTGTGCTCTTTCGAAATGAACTATGCAGAATTTAGAGACAACTTAATGTGTGCATGTATGCAAAGGGGTCTTCCAAGTGGACTCCCATGGAAAAAGTAGTATAATAGAGATAGATATATATAGATACTTTATTCATTCCCTTGGGGAAATTCAAGATAGCAACAACTATGCGTCCGTGGTGCAGCCCTGTAATTCCAATGCCATGAAATTCTGTTAATTTGCTGTGATTTTGTTGTGGCTCAATATCAACCTTATCTATCACCTTTAGGTTGAACTGAAATGCAAACTTTGTCACCTGTCATCAATGTTAAACCACAATAATGCCTTTTGTGTTTCAATGGCAGCAAATTCAATTTCTGGTTGAAAGAAAAGTGACGGCTATTGGCAGCAGCAAATTAATGCCTTTGCTTTTTAATATTTGATTGATTTCTTGGGCTGCAAGGTGGCGCAGTTGGTAGCACTGTTGCCTCGCAGCAACAAGGTTGCCGGTTCGCGTCCCGGTGGGGGCACTGCGTGGAGTTTGCATTTCCCTGTGCAGCGTGGGTTCTCTCCGGGTTCTCCGGCTTCCCCCACACAGTCCAAAAACAGGTTGAGATTAACTGGTGATTCTAAATTGTTCATAGGTGTGAATGTGAGTGTGCTTGGTTGTCTGTCTCTAAGTGTAGCCCTGTGATGGACTGGTGACCTGTCCAGGGTGTCCCTGGCCTTCGCCCTAAGTCGGCTGGAATAGGCTCCAGCCCCTTCCACGACCCTTGTGAGGATTAAGCGGTGTATAGATAATGGATGGATGGATTGATTTCTTTATTTTCATGTCATGCACATAAGCGTTCCCAACCCTCATGGGTTTACAAGACACCAATATACTTGCACTGCTGCTCAGTCCTTAAAATATGTTACCTTCTATCTCAGGCCTGTTCTCCCATGAAAAAGGTTCCCCTTCTAAAACATGACTCAATTTTTTCATGGTTGTCCAGCGAAAAGAAATCACAATAAACAGAGGACATTTTACTGAAAAGTACCTCCGTTATATCTTCGTTTGCAGGACAGTGAAACATGAAATAAACCTCATTTTCAGTTTCACATAAATTACACAACAAAGTGGGACCCTTCTCTGAAGTAGCATTAAACCTCCTAGTCTTTAAGAGTCATGGTAAGGTTCCTGAGTGTAACGCTGAGGAACTTTACAAACACAGGGATCACTGTCTTTTGCTTTAATTATACTTCACATACAGTGCTGTGAAAAAGTATTTGCCCCATTCTCAAATTCTTTTTTTTTTTTTTTTGCATATTTTCTCCACTTTAATGTTTAAGATCATCAAACAAATGTAAATATCACACAAATATAACGCAAGTAAACACAAAATGCAGTTTTTAAATGATGATTTTATTTATTAAGGGGGGAAAAAAAAATATTCAAAGCTACCTGGCCCTGTGTGAAAAAGTAATTGCCCCCTAAACCAAATAACTTGTTGGGCCCTGGTCTCCAGCAGCAACAACTGAAGTCAAGCGTTTTCTATAACTGGCAATGAATCTTTCACAACTGTGTGGAGATATTTTGGCCCAATCTTCCTTGCAGAATTGTTTTAATTTAGCCACACTGGAGGGTTTTCGAGCATGAACACCCTTTTTAAGGTCATGCCCAGGCATCTTTCACATCAAAGGAGAAAGGGTCAGCAAAAATTTAAGAAGTGGCTTTGTGTGTCTTGAAGTCTGCAAACTTGTGATCAGATTCCTCCTGTAGCTTTACAATGGTATCAGCATACTTCTCACCACTGAATGGTGTGCCTCAATCCATGAGGGCCTTGCATGCTGGGAAATGGGAGAGGTTTGTTGGAGAAAGCTGGGCTTTCCATAACACAGGTTTTGTGGAGAATGCTCTGACACTTTCAGAGGCAGCACTGACAAGCTGGCCCTGGCCTTGTAATTTGTGGTTCAGGTACATTCAGCTCCTGTGTGATGTCAACAAGAAAACTAAGTCCATGAGTCATTTGGCATCACTTAGCACAGAAACAGCCATCCCAGCCTTCTCCATGAAGGCTTTGACTTCTGTTGTCAACTCAAATAACCTCTTCAAGACGTTTACCCGGCTGAGCCAACGTACCTTGGTGAAGTAGAGCACATCCTCGTGTGCTGACTCTATTTCTTCCAAAAAAGTGCGGAACTACCAGTGCTTTAAGCCCCTGGATCTGATATGGTTGATGCATTTAACAACAACAGATATCACATTGTCAAACTTCAGGCATTTGCTGCAAAGGGCCTGCTGATGGATAATGCAGTGCAGAGCAATGGCTTCCTCCACGCCCTACTCTTCCAGTTTTCTTTTAACAAGTGCCACCAGTCCATTTTTCCTACCTGTCATTGATGGTGCTCCGTTGGTTGTTATTCCAGTAAAACTCTTTGGTAGTAAGTTGGCATCCACAATGGCATCACACAGCTGGCGGATAATCTCCTGAGCGATGGTCTGGCCATGCATTGGAATCACTGTGAGCAACTTCTCCATCACTTCAAAATTGTCGTCAGCACCACGGACATACATTGCGAGCTGCGGTGTGTCAGTGACATCTGTGCTTTCATAAAGAACGACTGAGTATGTGTGGAAAGTTGGCAGTTGATCTCATGCAGCTGATCGTAAAAGTTGCCTGACAGGTCAGAAATGCGCTCTGCCACTGTGTTGGTTGAAAGCCTGATGTTGCTAAGCATGAGCCCTCTTTTCCAGACAGACTATGCTTGCAGCTTGCAATCATCTCACTCACCACGTAGCTAGCTTCGACTGCCACATTACTCCCTTTGCTTTGCTTGAAAAAATCTTGTTGCCTCAGCAGACATGTTTTAAGATTGGCGACCTGGTCCTCTCATCGCCCTGGTATTTTGCATACTCCTCAGTATGTCTGGTTGAGTAATGACGTCTGATGTTGTATTCCTTGTGCACCGCAACTTTCTCTGTGCATATAAGACACGTCGGGATGACCCTGTGATCAACAAAAACACATCCTGTCTCCCACTTCTCCTGAAATTGTCTGTGTTCATCGGCAACCTTTCTCTTCACGGCAGATTTTGAGAAACACATGACTGGGGCTGGGTGACCAAAAAAAAAAAAAAAAACACATTTGCGCTGGGTGACAGGATGTATTTTCCCTCCACTCTGTGACACTCCTGAATCACGTTGCAAATGACTAACTTTGCTAACTCGCGTTGTTATCACGAGCCTGAGCTATGGTAGCCCACAAGTGATTGAAAACAATATAAACTGCCCAGGGCAACAGCTCATGTAGGTGCGTGAGAAAAACGTGCGGGTCGCACTAATACTGAACTTTAAAGTCAAGTGCCCCCTGTTTTAAGCCATTCAGAAGTCGACTTGCTGGTGTGTTTTGGATTGTTGTCCTGCTGCTGAACCCAAGTGCGCTTCAGCTTAAGGTCACGAACTGATGGCCGAACAGTCTCCTTGAGGATTTTCTGGTAGAGGGCAGAATTTATGGTTCCATCAGCTGCATCATCTGCTGCAGTTCTATCAACAAGATTATCCACCTGTGTGGGACTAAGATGAGAGGAGCTGCTCTCCATTATGTTGGCATATGGCACTGAAGTAAATAGTCGTGGAACCATCTCCTTAAATTTAGTTACTGCATTATCGGATAGACATCTGCTGTAATGGAACTTTTTGATAGATGCGCCATAGTCCATTATTGTAAATTCCAATGTTCTAAAAAAAATGATCAGACAGAATACAGTTTTGTTTAAAAACAGTAAGGTGTTCGATTTCTATGCCATATGTCAAAACAAGATCAAGGGTATGGTTTCATAAGTGGTTCATAAGTGGTTTTATTTCATAAGTTCATCAACTTGTAGCATTAATGTAATGAGCAAAACAATCAAGTATGTCTGGGCTTATCCTACCTAATACACATTCAGGCAGATTATTGCAGAATGGACTGTGACATACTATGAGATATATAAGACTGCAATGATCAATTCAGCACTAATCGATTTGAAGCCTTAACTTGAGATGATGGAGCCCTGCTCTATTGGAATAACCTTGAAAGAAGATAACTGTCAGAAGACAGTCGACGCTAATTGAAAAATTGGAATTTTAAGTTTGATTGAATTGGGATTTTCAGATACAGAACTGCTGACAATGTGAAGTGGATGTTCCACAGTTTTTTGTTAACTTGGAATTTCTTATTCCAAGACAAATAATGATTTTGTGCTTCCCATCTCAATAATTGCCATTTTTTCCAATTCAGCATTTGTGTTTGTAAGACTTACCTTTTTTAAAGTTTCAAGGAAATCATCACAATCCTTCCTGAAAAAAATACAGTTAAAATGTTGTAAAAAGTGGATTTTCCAGTGCCAAAGCTAAATATAGGAAGACCTTTGGCAGAACATTTTTGATGCAGCCCTAAATGACATTTTGATGCGACAAAACTAAGTTGTTTCTACCCATAACAAAAAATTAGGCTCGAATTGAGTGAATATTAGTGGAGATATTGATTTTTAAAATTAAACATTCTTCATTTTAATAATAAATTATAAACTTTTATTATTTTAATTTCTGTTTAAAAAAAATCTGCATAAGCTATTGACATGATTACAAGTTCTAGCTGTTCCTTGATGTTTCTTGGATATTCAGTTTAAAAAAATCTGCCAAATCCTGTGAAAAATAAACAATTGGTGAGGCTTTAAAGATACTTTAAAAGCATTGCTGAATTTGTAGAAATTTAACAGAGAGGGCATATTTTTCAAAAATTGATAACTCAAAAAGTATTTGGAGTAGAGCTGTGGGATATTGCAAGATTCTATGGGTTAGGTACAAGTTTTTGCCTGGTTTATTTTAAGAAAACTCATGACCTCAACTGGGAGGGCCTAGTTGAGTTGGCATAGAATGACCTACATGTGAACTTTTGTCCACTGCTGTACATATCTGGCTTTAGGCTTAAAGTCTGCATATTGTTTATCCTATGTTGTTATCTTGGTAGTTAGTCTTTTTGTACATCAAAAACTTTGTCTTACCTATTCCCCAAACGTTTAACCTAAGCATCCACCATCCACAGGTTGTTTTTGTCTCGTGGAGCCAACATCTGTCAGAGGAACAGGGAGGGAGAGACCGCTCTAGAGTGTTGCAACGACGGCTCCAAGGTGTGGATGGCTCTCAACACCAACAAGAAGCTGACTGATGCCAGGAGAGGACGGGAATGCCATGGAGAAAGAGTACTCAGCAGGTAGGCTGCAGTATTGCTTTGTGTATGCATATCTGTCTGTGTTGGATGGGTTGTATAAAAATGTGTATGTTATTTTGTTTCTTTTTTTAATGCAGCATGTATAGGACTGTCATGTGTGATACATCACTTTAAGTAGTCAGAAATTACATTTGTCCAGAAATTACATTTGCTGTGCCCACTGAGGCTTTATTAACATTAGTTGAACTTTTGGAAAACTGGTTTATTCACTGTCTGTCTGAGAGTTAGATGAGATGATCAACACCACTGTAATATTTGTGTGTCAAGTACGGAGCAGGATGGGTTTTGTCTTGGCATAGCCTAAAGAGTGGAAGCAGGGGAACCAGACTTTCTCAGTCCAAAGCAAAAAGAAATATGTCAAACAACACTTCTAAATTTTGCTGTCTTTTGTATCTTATTTGTCTAAACTGAACACAAAGAAACTTTTTGTCTTTTGTGGGAACTGTGCTCTGAAATTTTTGTTTGTGTGTGTATATGAAGTAGTCATGATAACATTTAATCAGTGAACTTAGAAATGTTTGTAAGTGTATTTCTCAGTCTGTACTTAACACACACACATAAGATTGATCTTTGTTTAAACTATGTTCACTGGGTTAATAAAACTAAGGCCGAAGTAATATGTCCTAATATCTCTTAGGGACATTTCCCGAGGGTACGAGGCAGTTCCTATCACCTGTGTTAATGGAGTGGACAGCGAGCCGTGTCCCGAAAACTTTAAATACATACCAGACAGCTGTGTCACTTCCCCTATGAACATTGACAAGGACATCACTCACTTACAGGTGAGACTTCAGCTTTCAGTTAAGTATATATTAATTGCAGCACTCCAAGGAAGGCTTTAATAGGTTTGCTGTTTCTCCTTTACACTGTAGCTGTTCGATTACATTCAATGACATCAAAAATAATACAATAATGTAAGATGAAAACTGCAAAATGTCAGTAATACTTTTAATTTGTAACTGTGTCACTCAGCACTGCAGCTGTACAGATGAGTGCTTGTCCAGCACCTGCATGTGTGGTCAGCTCAGTCTGCGCTGTTGGTATGACAGTGTAAGTTAACACACACACACACACACACACACACACACTACCAAAATGCAATTGAAATTTAAAGTTGGATTTTGTTTTAGTAATACATTCCTTGAAGTTTTGCCAGTGTCCTTTACATTTAGAATAACAAATAACTTGTTCAGTGTCCATTTTACCATGTTATATTTTTTTGGCACTGTGTCACTTCTGCTTGGTTTCATGCTTGTGTACAATTTAATAATATAAAACATTTACTTAGCAAATATTAGTTTAACTTTGGGATCTTAGCAAATTGTTGTGTCCGTCTTCTGCCTCCAGTAATTCTGGTTTCAGACTCTCGATTTTTTTTCTTCCAAAAAAAGAGGATGGTGTTCTAGTACACATACTACCATCATGTATAGCATGCCAGAACAAAATTTAGGTGTTGGCAGCATTGGTAATTCCGAAAATCATTTTTCATGTTTCTGCAATGGTTGATACACCAGTATGTAGAAGATCTTTAACCAAAATGATATGTTTAATGCTAAACTATAATTATTGCCGTTATCCATAAATTTTCAAATTTACAGATTTACAAAAAAAAAAAAAAAACAGGAAAAATGCTAAAGCACATTATTATTTCTTGATTAAGAGGTCAAATTATGATCATTTACTTGAATTCCTGAACAGAAAAAATCGTATTAGTGGTTAAATGTTATGCTTGATGGTCAGTCTATATATATGTATAGGCTTAACAAATTAGACATGTTGTCCAATAAATCTGTTAAGCACTATATATGTAATCAGTTGCAGTATGCCCAAAATACCGGGATGTCAAACAAACATGTTTGTTTCTGAAAGTAGCAGATGGTCTCAAGAGAGAATCAGTGTTTTTATCCCCAAAAGCTGTTTTGTAAGATGTCTGTTATGGGTGTGTGCACGCAGGAGGGTCGACTCCCTTTAGACTTCTGTCAGCGGGAACCTCCGGTACTGTTTGAGTGTAACCATGCCTGCTCCTGCTGGAGGACCTGTAGGAACCGTGTGGTCCAGAATGGACTCAGGTGACCTATTCCTGTTTTTAGGATGTCCAAAGTAGCTATTCATCAAACAGCTGACTGTGGATCTTACTAGTGTTTGTTTAGTTGTATGCTCCTTCCAAAGTACAGTATTAGTTTTGGCTGAGGCCTAATAGTCAATTGATATGTACACTGTAGTTGATAGGGGCCTAGAGGTGGCAGTGTATATACAGTACCAGGACTTGGCTAGAAGGCAGTGATTTTATCCCTGGCCAGTGAAGAAAGGACACGTTTCTTTTCAAGGAAAGGGATTAGGTCTTGTCATGTATCTGTCTTTAATTAAAATATTATAATAATATATATATATAATATCTAATAATTAATATACATTTTCTGTCTTAATGTTCCTGTATAGTGGGCTGCTGCTCCACCAGCTGCTCAAAGAGATAATTGCCTTGATGTTGTTTGTTTCAGAGCCCGACTGCAGCTCTTCAGGACACAGAGGATGGGCTGGGGAGTAAGGGCCATGCAGGATATACCTCAAGGAACATTCATTTGCGAGTGAGGACAGGAAAGGATTTCTTGAGAGAAATGACTGAATTCAGTATTATGCAGCATAAAATATTGAACAGAAGCTGCGTCTGAGCTCTTTCCCTCTCTCCTGATGTTTCCACAGGTATGTAGGGGAGATTATCACTGATGCAGAGGCAGACAAAAGAGAGAATGACTCTTTTCTCTTCACCCTTGACAATAAGGTGATTTTAATTATTTTACATGAATTTTTGAAGGTGCACGAGCCAGGCTTGCATATTGGTAATAAAACGTAATTGGACACACCAGTGTTCACAAGAAGTGATGTGATGTTAGAGAGCCCAGCTCTCTGCAGACAAAATGCTCATCTATGTAGTTTTTTCACTTTGACTTCTTGTTTTGTTTTGGGGTTTTTTGCTATGGGAACCCAACATGTTGGTGATGCATAAATCACATAAATATATTTCGATGTTTGGTCCTGATTTGCTGTCAAGTCAGTTTACACTGCTGGTGCTGCAACTAATGGAACACAGATTAGAAAATGGTTTATTCTACTGGTATATACATAATTGCACTTTGATTGAGCCAAAAATTTAAACAATATCTTGCATTATGGGATGGTGTCAGACCTAAATGCACTTCAGTACATTATCATATTTAAATAAATGAAATTTAAAGTTCAACAGCGTTAATGTGCAGCTGTCAGTTAGAAATAAGTGGCTGCATCGGTAAAATAAATATATTATATATATACATTATATTGCCATTTTTTTTTTAACCAGCATTCCTTTTCTGCATCATTTTTAGTAGCAGTGCTTTGTTTTTACCATCATAAAGTTTTGTATTCTTCATTGTTTTCTAATATATCAGCTTGTTGACTGCAGCAGTTACACAAGATTGTTTTCATTTTGTGTAGAAGGAGAGTCAAATGATGCGTTAAATGCCCCCTTTTGTGTGAATGTGCACAGAGTTTAAGCAGAGTTAACAAAGAAAGTTGATAGCCACCTTTGTGGTACCTGTTATCTCTGACTGGGACGTTAGTTTTGTCGTGCTGATTTACACAAAGAAAGCCTGGTTATGTCAATCGTGCTTCGTGATGCAGCCCTCTGGGAATCCTGCTTTAAGTTAGACGAACACTTAATTATCTATAAAACATCCATCACTGATTTTCAGCATGGAAAAAGGAATTCCTAGAAATAGTCTAAACGATATATATTTATATGCACACACTGCTCAAAAAATAAAGGGAACACTTAAATCATTGATATACACTGTGTAATTTATTGAGAACAAAATGACATGAAAATGGACAGAGGAAACTAAAAGTATGAATCTATTGAGGGGTGGGGGGGATTTACAATCACTTGCACTTCCTAACTGGACGGATCCATATCCCAGAAGTTTAATTGAATTGGTGTTATACTGTAATGACTAAGTGTTTCATAAAATTTTTGAACAGTGTATGTACAGTGGCAAGAAAAAGTATGTGAACCCTCTGACATTTCCTAGTTTTCTGCATTAATTGTTCATAAAATGTGATCTGGTCTACATCTAAAAAGAAAAGAAGAACAGAAGAACGATCCGCACACCAAACAAGCTTCCTTTTACAATTTATTGGTGTGACGTTTCGAGCAAAATGCTCTTCCTCAGACTGCTAAACATTAGACTGAGGCCGCCATCTTAAGTACCCATAGTGCACAGCATTCATCATGTGGTGCATTGGCACGTGAACAGTACTTCGTAATGTATGCAATCATGTATGGTATTACATGGTATTATGTTGAGCACATTGTATTTGTCTATACTTGTGACTTAGATGTAGATCAGATCAAATTTTATGAACAATTAATGCAGAAAACTCGGAAATGTCAGGGGGTTCACATACGTTTTCTTGCCACTGTACTTTCCACTCACAAATGTGGGCGGTCTTATGACTCTTTCACGGTTGGGTCTTCTACCAAATGCCTGTGAGCCCAAGGGTTCTGTGCGATATCTTAACTGTTTCAAAGACTGGGACTGTACTCCTCTGGACAGAGATCTCAGATGTTGTTTCTTGGATCAGGCTGCAAGGGGGCTTGGTGGTTAGCACTGTTGCCTTGCAGCAAGAAGGTTTGCGTTCTCCCCATGCAGCGTGGGTTCCCTCTGGATTCTTTGGCTTCCTCTCACAAGGTCCAAAAACATGTTGAGGCTAATTGGTGATTCTAAATTGTCCGTAGGTGTGAATGTGAGTGTGCTTGGTTGTCTGTCTCTCAGTGTAGCCCTGTGATAGACTGTCGACCTGTCCAGGGTGTCCCCAGACTTCGCCCTAAGCTGGGATAGACTCCAGCCCCCCGCGACCCTAGTGAGGATTAAGCGGTGTATAGATAATGGACCGAAGGATGGATTTTTCTGGGATCTGTTGAAGCCACTCTCCCAGTTTGGGGATTATAGTCCCAAGTGCTCCAATCATCACTGACACCACTGTTGCCTTTACTTTCCACATCTTTTCTAGCTCCTCTCCCAGACCTTGGTATTTTTCAAGCTTTTAATTTTCCTTCTTTTTGATGTTGCTCTCACTTTGGATTGGTACATCTGTCACTACCGCCTTCTTTTGCTGTTAATCAAATACCACAATGTCTGGTTGATTGGCCACCACCAGTTTCAGTCTGAATTTGAAAGTCCCACAGGATCCTAGGTTGGTCATTCTCTGATCCTGAGTCGACAATCCTATACTCGGTGTAGATGTTTCTGTACACTGTGGCAGTTACCTGGTTTTGGCTATCCATGTATGCTGTTGCACAGCTCCAGGCACTCCAGTATCCATGTTTGTGGCATGGAATCATAAGCTTTATTGTATACCAGGGGTATCCAATCCTGGTCCTCGAGGGCCACAATCCTGCATGTTTTAGATGTTTCCCTGATCAGGATCGTCATCAGGCTTCTGCACAGCTTGAGGATGAGCTGATCATTTGAATCAGGTGTGTTGGAAGAGGGAAACATCTAAAAAAAAAAGGCAGGATTGTGGCCCTCGAGGACCAGGATTGGATACCCCTGTTGTACACAGTTCAGGCAGTGCACAGATTGTTTCTTTTGGTCTTACAGTCTTGGTGACTGCTCTGTCAATCAGTTGCAGGTGCTTGACTTAACTGGTGTCAACTTCCCTTCTTATTGCCTTAGATTTGGTCTTCAGTCGTCTTTTTCATGGGGGATACTGCTTCTTATAGCTTTTGATGTTCATCTTGTAAGCATTTCTAAGATTACTGTTGTGTAGATCAGTCTATTTGTCTCAGTAATGGTTACAGTCGGGATAGTTAGTAGAACTGCATTCGCGTCTTCCAGCAGACTTTGCGTAGGTACTTTCCACTTAGCCTTGGCAAGCACTAGTCACAGGTATTTTGCTTAGTTCAATCTAAGGTCAGCTGCCCAGGTTGTAACCCAATCACAGAGTGTGGGCGTGATAATGATATCTCCCCCCTGACCTGTCGCCTGGCTCCCCGTTATCGTATATTATGCAAAAGGATAAGAAAGGGAAAAAAAAAAGGTTAATGGAAACTCAACATTATCAGTGTGGTGGTTGAGCCATGAGTAGAACCAGCTGTTTCTTTCACCCCATGTAGGGTCCCAGCCTGATGGCCTGTGCTTCCCTTTAGGTGTTTCTGCTCTACGCTCATCTCTCTCCTGCTCCTCCACTCTGCTCTCCTTCACTTTGTTCCACTGCTGCTCCCTGTCTAATGTTACCTGTCTTATACGGTTACATAAAACATTAACGTTAAATAATTTACACTCACATCACATCTGGTTACAAGTATGAACACTATTTTTTTACCAAACCATCAGGATTTATGAGTCAGTAAAAGGCTGATGATACCAGACAAGCATCATCTTCATCAGGTGTCTTTCTCTTCTTAGAGAAATATTTAAACAAGCTCATCTGAAGATGCAGTCAGCAGTTCCATCATGTCGTGTACATATTAGCTTAGTGCTATCAGTTAGTTTACTCACGTTAGCGACACTGAGTTGGCACCGGGCCCAATTAACTTAAGATACCAATATGTTGCGTAATGTTAGCTGGCCATCAATATTTTGTGAATGTCTATTTAACTTGTAAAATCTATTTTTAGTTACCTTAAGCTAATGGTAAGTAAGTTCTCTGGTAAGTAGCTTCCCTATTCTCCAAGACGGCCCTCCTCTGACTCTCTGACCTGGAGCCTGGTGCTGGACGTGACATCACTTTCAAGACTGCACTCTCGTGACTAACAAACATTGTATTAACCTCCCAAAGAGTAGATACTGAGCAAGATAGTTATCTGTAGTCTACCTTCGTGATTTACGTCGTATTAAACCCCCTAAGAGTAGATACTGACCAAGATATTTATCTGTGGTTTACCTTAGTTCCTTAGTTACCAACCCAGTGCAGGACTCTGCTGTGAAGGTGGAGACAATGCACAGTGGTGTCTTTGGGACCGTAAAAAAAAAAAAAGAAAGAAAGAAATTTGAAGGAACGGTGGCTTGGATTTAGGAATGGCAGCCCGCCACTAGTAAATGAATGTAGAGGAAACACTGGCTGTAAATTAATACTGAAGACATTAAAACTATACATATGGAATTATGTAGTAAACAAAAAAGTGTTAAACAGGAATGTGTTTTCTATTTTAGATCCTTTAAAGTAGCCCCTTTTTGCTTTGATGACAGCTTTGCATACTCTTGGCATTGTCTCAGTCAGCTTCATGAGGTCATCTCCTGGAATGGTTTTGAATTAACAGGCGTGCCTTGTCAAGAGTTAATTTCTGGAATTACTGGCCTTCTGAATGTGTTTGAGACCATCAGTTGTGTTGTGCAGACGCAGAGTTAGTACACAGTGGATAGCCCTATTTGACTGCTGTTGTAATCCACAGTATGGCAAGAACCTCTCGAAAGAGAAAGAGAGAAAGAGAAACGACAGTCCATAATTACTTTAAGACATGAAGGTCAGTGGATCTGGAAAACTTCAAGAACTTTGAATGTATCCTCAAGTGCAGTCGCAAGAACTATCAAACGCTATGATGAAACTGGCTCTCATGAGACCGCCCCAGGAAAGGAAGACCAAGAGTTACAAATATGTAAACTTCTGACTTTGAAAAGAAGTAATGAAAAAATTCTCTAAAACATTCTGTCGTTACTCTGGTGTTACGCAAATAGAAATAGTTTTAGTAATCATAATTGACCTAAAACCGGAAAAGTTTTGTCACATCTTATCTGTCTTTTTATACAGTGTATGTAAACTTCTGGTTTCAACTTTATAATTACATTTTGTTTGTTATGGAAGGAACAGAACAGACATGTGGAAGCAATGAAAATAACTGTAAACCTGTTTTCCTTCTCTGTCTTTGTTTCCTGTCATATTACAGGATGCAACATCTTCCAATATGACAGAGAAAGAATAATTTCTGTGTCACAGAGATGTGAGGGTGGGATTAATCATGTATGAGCTGGATAGAATGTACCCCATATGACTGTGGTTCATTTGGTTCATCATCTTGTGCAGGTGGGGGACGTCCACTGCATTGATGCAAGACTCTTTGGCAATATCGGCCGTTTCATCAATCATCTGTGTGAGCCCAACCTGTTGGCTGTGAGGGTGTTCACCATGCACCAGGACCTACGCTTCCCTAAGATAGCCTTCTTCTCCAGCAAACCCATCAAAGCTGGAGACCACATAGGGTGAGTGGTGAAAACAACAACCTCAGGGTCTGTTTGCTGCCAATGAAATCAAGATAGCATGATGACATGAATGCTATGTTTTCCTCACTAGATTTGATTATGGCGATTCCTACTGGAGGATAAAGAGAAAACACTTCAGCTGCCAGTGTGGGTCTCTCAAGTGTCGCCACACAGCTGACAGCAGATAGAAACGCACAGATGACCTCTGATCTCTTTCGCTCTCTGGACACATTCTGTCACTGTCAATGTTTTCTATGGACTGATCTCTTCTTTGAACATGCATTTTTACAATTTTCAATTATCCATTAAACACATTCTTAAAACATGTTTTCATCCAGTTTTTATTAGACACGTGATAAGAGATACAGCTTCTTTCATGTTGGGTGATGACAAAATTAATATAATGGTAGACTGGCAAACTATCCAGGGCGTACCATGCCTTTCCCTAAGTCAGCTGGGATTGGCTAAAATGATGTTGTACTTTACCAGAGCTAATGGGATTGAACCAGAAAAAAACTGACACAGAAGTACACAACAGTATGATCAATGTCCACATACATTTTGGCTTGTAATAAAATGTAAGTTTTTACTTTTAAACACTACAAAGTAATTTTGTCAAACCACCTCACTTCGTATAAGCTAGTGATAATCGAAGCTAGGTCAACTGATAAAGCACTCCATTACTCTGCTTCTTGGTCAAAAAGCACCCACAGAGCCTGGAGGTGTTGTGGCTCATTGTCCTGCTGAAAAACTGATTGTCCCACTGAGCTCACACCAGACTGGATGACATGACACTACAGGATGTTGTGGTAGGCGTGCTACTTGAGTCTTGCCTTGAATTCTTGATAAATCACCAACAGTGTCGCTCGAAAAGACCCTAGCTCCTTCTGCTACATGTTTTACACATGCTAATGCTTTCTCTGTGTTTCATAAAGATACAACAGCTGGAACCAAAAATCTCCCATTTGTACTCATGTACATTCCCTGTGTTTCCTTGTTCAAGCAGTTCTCTGCTTCTTTTTGGTCTACTTCAGTTGTGGTTTATCTGCAGCAGTTCCACCCATTGACTGTATATAAAGACAGACAAACCCTCAGGACATCACCCAGAGGTTTTCTGAACAGTAGTTTCAAAGCTCAGTGTGATGACTCAAGCCATCACCATGTTGGCAGTGCCGGACTCCTCCTAATCCAAAAATGAGCAAAGTGGTGGAGCTGATGCTGACGATGCAAACATCTAGGAAATATGGAATGTCCTGATAACACCCACCTGTTATTCAAAGGGGTCTTAATTATATATAATTTGAAGCCTAATTACAGTTTAAACAGGTGTGTTTTTTTTACATCTCATCCTCCGTGCAGTTATCATGAACAAGGAAGTTAGTCATAGAGACAAAAAACATTTTAACATGGCAATCCATGGGGACTGACTCACTTTTGGGACCACCAAATGGTCATTCAAGGAACTTCAAGTTACTTGGCCTCTGAGGTTGCTGCTTAGTTTTATGTGTGTTTATCTGTGTTCCTTTGGATCAGCAAAGTTGTTTAAATGTAGTTCCATGCTGAAGACCAGATACACACAGTCTTCTCTAAACACTTGATGTTGAGCACTTGTCTGGCGCTTGACTCTGGGAGCATTAGTGTGGGCTCTAATCTGAGCTGCTAAGTGGTGATTCCTGAGGGTGTTTAATGAATTTAATGAACTTCTCTGCTGAGGGACCTGTTGGTCTTCCTTTCCAGGGTGTGCCCTAATGGGAATACTGTTAGTCATATAATATAGTTAGGATATTTAAATGAAGATATCAAAACTTGCACAAATAACAGACCTATGATTGTATAGAATCTTAAATTAGGTGGAGTCACTGATGCAGCACTTAACTATACAAGTGTCCAATCTGTATGTGTCAAGATATCAGACTTAACAATGAAACTGGGAATTACAGTCATCATTCTCCTTTATTTTCCATCTGAGATCATTTCTATGGAAAGTGGTGAAATTAAACTATTCTTCATTTATTTCTGAGAAGGTGCTGGAATCCCCAAAATGATTCTGTAAACTCTGCCTGGACTTCAGTGTGAAAACAGCAGAAATTGGGCTGACTCATGTTTTAGACTCATAATCAGTTATTGATCCCAAAAATACAAAACTGTAAATGAAAAAAATAGAAATACAATGAAAGTATAATAAAGGTAATTTTAATCTTTTGAAAAATGTTTACTTCATTACAACATGGTCTGTGACAGTAATTTTGGAAACCTACTTTCTTTCATTTTATATGATAACAATGACACAAATACAATAATAATGCATTCAAAGTTTATAGAAATCATGTACTTTCATAATAAGAAATAAGCCTTTAGCATTGTTTCATTACACTGAAAAAAACTCAGATTCTCTTCATCTCGATCACACAGTCATCTAATCTTCAGCTTCCCAAACAATTTAAAGGTCTTGACTTAAGGAGCTGCAATTTTAGCCAATTTTTCATTTCGTTAACCTAAATCACATTTAAAAAATTAAAAAATACTCAGACCTCTTTTACAGCTGTTCATTTTTGTCTTAGTATTCGATATATAGGAAAGGAAATTTGGTTTGAAACAGCCAAGAGCTAAATAGAGGTCAACATAGCTCAAGAATCTTTTATTGTAATTGTATAGTATTAATTGTTTAATAGTCAGTTAATTATATTGGCTTACTAACTCACATTCACACCTACGGACAATTTAGAATCACCGATTAACCTCAGCATGTTTTTGGACTGTGAAAGGAAGCCGGAGAACCCGGTGAGAACCCACGCTGCACAAGGAGAACATGCAAACTCCACTCAGAAAGATCCCGGGGGATCTTCTAGCTGTTAGGTGACGGTGCTAACCCCCGAGCCACCGTGGAGCCCATGTCTTTTGCAGCACACTCTAAATATAACTGTCTACATGATTGATGAACACAAGTAATTCAGCTCTAAGTCTAGCAATCTTTGTTTTGTATTGTCATTATGTTTATGCCGCGCTTCAGTGATTTGTGTTACTTTACTTACATACTTACATACCTTTGTTTTTGTTATTGTGGACAAAACATTGCAGGTAGGATCAATAGCAATAAAATACTGAACAAGAAAACTAGTAGTGTGTTTCATTTTTCCATGAGTGTGAAGTAGGTGAAACCTCATGTTGGAGCTGGAGTTCTGTTGGGGACATGATTGTACCATTTTGTCACACCCATGTCAAAGGACCATAAAAATAACATGTTGATGCACGTGCAAGGGCTCATGAGTAAAAAGGACAAAGGAATTACAATAAACCAATGTTTAAAAAAAGAGCCAGGATTAGGCACTCAAGGTGGGTTTTAAAAGTAAAAGGTCTTTATTTCAGAGGGCTAAAGACGTTAAGGAACACACTGTGTGTTGTCTTGTGCCATCTAGAGGGTGTGGAGACACAACGAAACCGAGTATTTACAGTTGAAAGCATCACAGGTGTATAACACATCAATTTCTCTCTCTGATCTGCAGGGGCACTGCACAACCAGTAAAACACAGAATACTAAACCTTTACCAGTCCTCTCACAGGCACGCTTTCCTAATTAAACATGATACAGACAAATGAGGATATCAACAGTAGTCAATGAGATAATTATTTATTAGTATTGTGGTATATGGTGGGCTTACTCAACACACAGAGAGTGAGTCTGAGAAGGTAAGCTTACAAAAGGTGATTTAAACAAGTGATCTGAGCCAGCAAAAGGTGGGAATGAGGGCTCTGGAAGACAGTTACAAATAACAACGGTGATTGAGTTAAGGGGTGTGGCACACAACAAAAGGTACGGGAACTAGCAGTAACAGTGGTGATTGAATAAAGAGTTACAGTAGG